TAGTTCCTCTAGAATTTGGTCATCCGCATGCGGGAGTTATGATGTGCCAGTAGGAGTAGATGGCTCAACATGAGCTTCACTAGGGTCTAGTCCTTATTTTAGCAAAGTTTGTCTCATAGCATCAGCGATAATCGAGCTATGGTTCTCTATAATCTGGTCAGTAGATAATGCAACCACTTGTGCTTGATAGCACAGTGCAGTGATTAAGGATGGAATTTATAAATAGCCTAAGGTCCTCTTAGCATAAGCAAACATATCAGTTGATATAATCTTCCCAACATCAATTTTTCTCCATGATAAAATATAATAAATAAGAAAAATCATATCCTTAGTAATTGTGGAAAAATACATAGTGGGCATTAAATGATTTCGAAGAAAAAGAAATCATACCCTAGTATCCCGATGAAGATCATGTCTCTTAATGGTTCACACGTCAGTTTTTTATATTGTCCAAGAGCGACAGGGCAAACAAACATCTCTGCCCACTTGTTCTAAAATTCTTTGGTCATATTTTCAATAAACATAAAATGCCTCCACGACTCCTTAGTAATATCCAACATAGTACTGATGGGTTTTTCCCACCAATGAAAGAATTTCTCACGTGCAAACACCAATCGTTTAGTCTAATTGGTGTGGTTATTATAAAACTCCTAAACAACTTGTTGGTTGATATCGACAGGGTGATCACAAAACTTCTCTCATCCCCGCTTTATGATCATATGAGATGTGGGGCTCCTCTTCAGTAGATAAATCATAACCTTGCCTGAAGCAAAAATCATGGCTAAAAAACTCTTTTTCCTACCACCGCCACTGCTCATTATCCATAAACGTCACATTTTTCGGTGGAGCTACTTTACGCAATGCATGTATTAACGAAGACAGATTGGGTTTACGCCTGGATGACTTCGTGCTTGCTTTCTTCTTTGGTGGCATGGAAGAACTCGTGAAGAAGGCTTAAGTTGAGAAAAGGGTTATCACAGAGTTACAGAAAAAGGAAAGAGAATGAAGGTAAAAGGGTAAAGTAAATGGGTTTTATTGAATAACGTAAAATATAGGATAAAAATGATTTTAAAATTTAAAATGCAAGGGTGGAGGGATAAGGATTTTTTTAAATGGACGGCTAAGATTGGCCAAGGTGGTTGGTTAAAAATTTAGAAGGGAATGAGATGGTTTATAGCTCATAGTTACCATAGAGGAAATGTTTTCAGCCAGGTATAGATGTAACTTCAATAACATCATTGGATGTACTCCAGACTACTAAGAGCAATGTAGAAAAGATCGATTGGAAGAGAGTGGTTGAGACTATAGATGTAACAGGAAAAACCTGTATAAAGAAAACAAGAATAAGAACATAAGAAAAATAAATGTCAAAGAAACTAACTTATTCAAAATGCAAAAATATTATAAAGGTGAGGGATTGCTTAGTGTGATTGAAGTAATTTTAGGGCTTCGTTGCTGGAAATAATGCTTTAGAATGTTGCCCATTAAATTTAAATGTGCTTCAATCCACCAAGTAATTTTCTAACACAACGCCATGAGGAAAAACGTCAAGAACTTTAAAAGAGTTTGACCAAAGAGAACGCAACTTCCCAAGAAATAACTTCAATCCTGAATTAAATAGAAGAATTTTATTGTCTAGCAATGATTGCCATGGAAAAATATGTTGTTATTGCAACTTATTGATCTTATCTTTATAAATGCATGAACACTCATAGGTATTGTTCCGAAGCTCCTCTAGCACATTAAGCTCTGGCATTCTTTTTTCACTTGTAGCATCTAAGTCAAAATTTAACTTCTTCAATGCCCACATAGCCTTTTGCTTCAGCTTCACAGGTAGATGACAAGCTTTATCGTACAATAGATGATAAGAAGACATCCTTAATGGAGTCTTGTAAGTGGTTCTATAAGCCCGTGGTACTTCTTCAAGGCATTGTTACCAATCTTTTCTATAAGGATTCACAACCTTATTAAGATTTTTCTTAATTTCCCGATTGGATACCTCAGCTTGACCATTGGTCTGTGGATGATATGTTGTAGCAATCTTATTCTTTACACCATAACGGTTCAATGATCTAGGAACTTGATTTCCAATGAATTGAGATCCTTCATCCTTGTTGAATCTCGATGTGTTCCAAAGCAAGCAAAAATATTTTTGTGCAGAAAACATAACACTACTTTAGCATTATTGTTTGGAAAATCTACAACTTCCACCCATTTGGAAACATAGTCAATAACAACTAAAATAGAAAGGTTTCCATATGAATATGGGTAAAGTCCCATAAAATCTAATCCCTGGACATCAAAAAGTTTGATCTCCAAGGCAGGTTGCATTGGCATTTCATTTCGCTGAGAAGTATCACCCGTTCACTGGCATTGATCACAATACTTTACAAATTCATTGGAATATTTGAAAAGCGATGGTCAGTAATATCCACACTAAATCACTTTTGATGTTGTATGCATACAACCAAAATGACCTTAATAAGGGGCAGTGTGATAATGTTGTAGAATGTTTTGCCATTCATACTCAAGAATACATCACCATACAAGTTGATCATTGAATTATTCAAATAAATATTGTTCCTCCCAATGGAATTGCCTCACATCCCTAATAATTTTTTTCTACCTTGGTAGATAAGATCGAGTGGCATCATCCCACTTACTAGATAGTTGGCAAAATTAGCATACCATGGTAGTAATGTAGTAGCAACCAGGCACTCATCGGGAAAATCATATGGAATTACTAAAATGATGTAATCCTCGTTGCCAAACTCTAACTTAGATAAGTGATCAAGCACTTGATTTTTAGATCGCTTCTTATCCCGAATCTCAATATCAAATTCTTGGAGTACGAGAACCCATTGAATCAATCTAGACTCTGTATCTTTCTTTGCAAAAAAATGTTTTAGTGATGAGTGGTCGGTATAGACAATTACTTTGGTGCCCATCACGTATACACAAAACCTTTCAAAAGCGAACACCAAAACGAATAACTCCTTTTCAAGTGTGTAATTGACTTGGGCATCATTTAATTTTCTTCTTGTATAATGTATAGCATGAAACCCTTTTTCTTTTAGTACCACACTAACAGAAAAGTCACTAGCATCACACATTAACTCAAAAGGTAGATTCCAATCTGGTGCTACAATGACAGGAACATTCACTAGCTTCATCTTAATTGTCTTAAAGGAATTAATCATTTCCTCATCAACAACGTATTTTTTGTTTTACTCCAGCAATGAACACAATCGCTTAGCAATTTAAGAAAAATCCTTGATAAACCTTCTATAAAAATCAGCATGACCAAGAAAGCTTCGCACTACCTTCACATTAGTTGAATGTGATATTTTTCAATAACTTTCACTTTTTCCTTATTTAATTCAATGTCGCGGAAAGAAATACGATGTCCATGCACTATACCTTCAGTAAATATGAAATAGCATTTTTCTCAAATCAAAACAATGTTGGTCCCCTCACATATTCTCAAAACTACAGCTAAGCTATTCAAACAATTCTTATAATCTTGCCCAAACACCGAAATTAGGATAAAAATCAAGCTGAAAATGAAAAATTTGGTTAAGGGTATCGGTACTAAAAGAACAATACCAATATTATAGGCATATATTTGAAGAAATATGATCAACAATATCAATACTGATACAATTAGTATCGATACTGATGTGGGTATCGATACTAAGAGGAATGAATCGATACCATGGATTCCAAAATGTATAAATGGTATCGATACTGAAGGGAGTATTGGTACCATAGTATAGAAGTATCGGTACCATAGTATAGAAGTATTGATACCATAGTATGGGTACCGATACTATTGAGTCTAGAATTTTTAGATATGATGAATTTTTAATAGAGATTGAAAATAATAGTACTTTTGAGTATTATTACACTGCAAGAAATTTAGATTATTTCAACAAAATTATTTATCACTAAAAGTACTAAATTTGTCACAGTATATTTATTCTGACTAATTTTATTTGTTACCATGTTTGTTAGAACAACCTTGTCATGTAAAGTATATTGTGACAAAATTCTGTTCGTTACCATTTTATAGTATTTATTGTAACAATGAAATTTCGTTACTATAATTAACTTATTGCAATAAAATATTTGTCACAATCAATTAACCATTTCGTCACGAGAACTACATTTTGTTATAACTAACTTATATTTTAACATTAAATATAAAGAGTTTTTGTGATGAATATACGTAAGGCAACAAAAATTATTTTGTTGCAGTTGTTATTTCGTCACTAAATGTAAAATACAGAGACAAAATATTTTTTAAAACAAAATATTCATTTTATCACAAAAAATAAATTTTGTCACAATTAACTTAGATTATGACATCAAATAAAAAAGGTTTTCGTGTCAAAAAGACATGTCACAACAAAATTTAACTTCTCACTACTTTTATTTTGTTACTAAATATTTTCTATAATTTTTTCTGTGACTAAATAATTTTGTTGCAATTTGTTATTGTGAAATAATATTACTTCGTTATAATTTTTTTAATTGAGAAATTAATATTTGTTATAAATTGTTATTTTGATTAAATAAATTTTTCACAATTTTTATTTTAACAAAATATTGTGACAAAATAAATTTGACATAACTTTTTATTTTAACTAAATTTACTGTGTTATTGTAACTAAATAAATTTGTTACAATTTATTATTGTGATAGTGAAAGAATGTTATTTGTCATAATTTTTTATATTGAGAAATTAATATTTGTTATAAATTGTTATCATGACTAAACAAAATTGTCAAAAAATAACATAATAGTTATTTTGAGAAAATATTATGACGAAATAAATTTAAAATAAATTTTTATTTTGATTAAATTTAATATATTTTTTATTAAATTTAATATGTTATTGTGACTAAAATCAACATTTTTATCCATATATACATTAAAAAGAAAAGAAATCCAATACAAATTTGGGACATTTAATGGCCAGTAATAGTCCCAAAAATGACTCATGAGCAACCCCAACAACTGAGAAGCACACCAAATATCTTCCCCTCCTTACCACGCAAGCAACAACAGTCCTTATCTGCCTTAACAGCAGGTGCATCCCATGCTAGTGCCCATGCCCTTTGTTGCTGGTGACCATGCTCTCGCCGTACCTGTAAGCAAGTTTCTCACAAGCAAACTAGAAAAGAGCAGAACAAAGAGAAGCAAGTTAGAGGAAGAAAAAAAGATTTTTCATTTCATTATTTGATTTTTTGTAATATTGAGGGGTTCTATAAAACCTCCTCCGAAATGCATGCAAAAGGAGTAGGCTCTCCCTTGATTAAAACAAAAAGGAATACAAACAACCATATACGATTGAAGTAAACCTATGAATGTACTTGAAAAACCCAATACCTCCAGTCATGATGTTTTATAGTCTTAGCAGAGCAGAAAGAATTTGATGAGCGCCCTACATTTGGTATGTGCAATTGTCAAGAAAAGAATAGTATGTGATTGTTTGACATGAAAGAGCTAGAAGAAAAATCTACACCAAAGTTGATAACTGCATTCAATGGAAAAGGTGAAGGGTGACATTGGGATGGAACAACCTTAACTATCAACATGCTTTAACTTATAGGTTCTAAAATCTACTTCAATCTTACATAACTTAGTTTTGCTTGATTCAGATCAACAAATACGCGACAAATAACACAAAAGTCCTAGCATAAGTATACTAAATCCATCATTCGTTAAAAATTTAATATCTTGGTTCCAAATTTATTTTTTCAAGGTGTACTAGTTAACTACCTCGCTCTGTGATGATACCGACAATTGATTTATGCTCTCCAGGTTTTACCACCACCAGGGAACCAACATTTTGTTGAGTCATCTGAAAAAGATTGAACTCAATAAGCATGTAAATCAAGTATTCAATGAAGAAGCTGAGAATCTACGAAAATTATAAATACGCATACCGACTTCACGGCATCGTAAACAGTGTCATCTGTAGTGCACCAAAGCCAGGAGTCATCTGCAGCTTTACCTTTGGCTTTCAAAACGTCGGAAATAGTTGTGCTTTCAAAACGTCTATTGCAATTGTATTAGAATGGACACTTCGAATGGGAAAAAAGTTTAGACTTTTGTTAATGTGATCAATGCCGATGATGTTAGTAATTTGAAGGTAGACAAGTAAATCCGAAAGTATAGTCTTGGCGAAAATATATACCTTATGCACTAAAAAATGGGGCTAATGGCTTCTGTTAGATCATTTCTTTATTTGCAAATTTTGATTTCCTTACACGTAAAAAATAAGTTCTAAAACAGATACCTTGGTGGAGCCTTTGATGTGGAGTCTCTTGTGGAGAATCTTCTCGGGCAACTTGCTGGAAATCAAGCGATTCTAGTGCACGTATATGACATTACTAACTCTTCTGATCACCTGATCATGTATGGTCACCAAGATCAAGGTGGTGACTTGGCTCTGTTGTATGAAAGCAAGCTCGATTTCGGAGATCCGTTCAAGAAGCATACAACGATATGTCGGTGAGTGCAAAACTGGTTACTTATTCACACGGTTTACGGAATGAAAGCTGTTGATTTTATAAGTTCTTAGCCGTTGGCTTTTTCGAGCGGATATCATCAGAAGGCACCGACTTCATGGACAACGCTGACCATTGAATTCTTATTCTTTGTCATCTGCTTATTAGTTGGTTATATCCTATATGGTGCAGCTATACACATTGTTAAAGTTGAAGACGATTTCCATGAAATGCAAGAACTGAAGGTTCGAGCCGAAACTGCTGATGTTGTCAAATCACAAGTATGTTTTTCAAGATATCTTTAAACACATTGTTGATTACCGATTTCTGAGCTAAAACTAATATCAATGTGTTCTTGTTTCAGTTTTAGCAACAACTTTACCTTTGGCTTTCAAAACATCTGGAAAACATAACGGGTCGCATAACCTGATTGACAACCCGAATGCAATGCAAGACCGCATTTTTCACGGTGTTTCCATGCACCGAAAAAGCTTGAACCGATCGCTGCATTCTACCTATTACAAGTGACGTTCTAATCTTTTTGGGTGTTAGGATTTGCAAATGGTAAAAAAGAAAAGGGAGGAGAGAGATGCGGCGCACAAAGACGAGAAATGGCCAATTGAAAACAACACGCGTGAAAGGCTAGGTTTTTTTGTTCTCCTAAAAGTTTTGGTCAAATTAGAAAATGGGTTCTTATATTATTGCGTATTTTTATATTGGTTCCTTTTTTTCTTTTTCTTCTAATTTAGTCACTGAATGTTTCTTTACTATTCTGATCGTGACTCTGTTTCATTTTAGTACAATTTAGTCATCATTTTATGCTATTATGTTTTATTTTTAATTAACTATTGTCTTTTTATTTTATTGCATTTTAATCCCTTGGTTCTTTTTATTTACATTTAATTTTGTTGGATAATTTATATTCCTTTCTAATTTTAGATCAAATCCTTAGGTTTAAATTTCTTTTAAATAAATCCCCACTAGAGTAATTAGACATAATATCAAAGAAAAAACTCATTTTATTTTTTTCTTCACGATGAAAGAAGAAATATAATTTTGGAATAATGGACTGACACAATTAAACTAAGGGTTTTAAAAAAGTATTTATAAAATAAATACAAATAAATTTCTCTAAAAACCAGTTTCCCTTTCAAAATCAATTTCCTTTAGAATAAAATAGAGGGAAATTTCCCTCCTATATAAAACTTAGGTACCCGTATTTTCGGGTCATCGATACCCAATTAATATTTATTTAATTTATATTAATTTTAAGATAAAAGATGCCTAAGGCTCTTGTACATTTTCAAAAAAAAATCAATTTGGCCATCAAATTACTGTTACATTCAATGCGACCCTCAAACTTAGAAAAAAAACAATTAACATGACCCTTTAACCAACATCTTCTATTATTAACCATCATGAAACTATATAATAAAAAATATTAAAAATAGTTATACAACTAAGAATAGTATTGTAGTGAATATAACATGATAAACGGAAGTAAACTCTACCTAAACTTAATGTAAAAAAATTTAATACGAAATTTGCCCAACTATGGTTAATATATGTTGTTCAAAATTTACACGAACCGCTTTACCTGAGGGCTTAAGTTAGCTTGTTCATTCCCAACTCAATATATATATTGTTCAATTTTTTAGTAATTTAATTTTCATTTTTACTATTTTTACTATTTTATTTTTTGTGTGTTTTAGATTTTAAATTTAGAATAATGATTTTTTAATAAATAAATAAGCTCCTGAACTTTTTGATAATATATTTTTGTTATTATATTTTATTTGAAAATACCATTTAATAATATATATATATATATTACCTGAGGGCTTAAGTTAGCTTGTTCATTCCCCAACTCAATATATATATATAGTTCAATTTTTTTTAGCAATTTAATTTTCACTTTTACTATTTTTTATATTTTATAATTTGTGTGTTTTAGATTTTAAATTTAGAATAATGATTTTTTAATAAATAAACAAGCCCCTGAACTTTTTGATAATATATTTTTGTTATTATATTTTATTTGAAAATGCCATTTAATTATATATATATATATTATTATTAGTAAAAATTAAATTTTTTGAACATTTTATTTTTTTATAATAATAATTATATTTTATCATTATAATTAAATATATAATTGCAAACATAATTTTTTTTATAAAAAACTTGAATCTTTTATTAATTTTTAAAAAATGGAAATTTTGTGATAATTTTTCTATTACAATAACTATTACATATAGTTACAAAACTTGTCACTATAACATTTTTGCACCAAAAAATAGGGAGAAATATTTCTAATAGTATAAGTTTTCATAATAATTAAAATATATAACTACAAAAATAATTAATTACAAAAAACTTAAATTTTATTAATTACAATATATTTTGTTATTATATAACATTTTTGACACTAAAAAATACGGTGAAATGGTTTTGATAGTATAATTTTTCATAATGATTAAAATATATAAGTAAAAAATAATTTATTACAAAAAACTTGAATTTTTTATTTAATGTGATAACTTTTTTATAACAATAACTATAAATTATAATTATAAAAATTGTCAATATAACTTTTGAAACAAAAAACTGGAGAAAAATATTTACAATTAATATATGCTATTACTATAGTTAAAATTTATAACTAAAAATATAATTTGTCACAAAAACATGAATATTATTATTTTTTTTGACAATGTTTTTTGTAATAATTATTAACACTTATAGTTACAAAATTTGTCACTATATGACTTTTTTGGCGCAAAACAATATGGAGGGAAATCTTTGTGACAATATATTTTGTCACTATAATTAAAACATATAACGACAAACATTGTTTTTTACTAAAAACTTGAATCTCATTATTTGTTGTGATAATTTTTTTTTTGTAACAATAATTATATCTTATAGTTACAAAACATGTCACTATATGATTTATTTTTGTACCAAAAATTGGAGATAATCATTTGTGGTTGTACATTTTGTCACTATAATTAAAATATATAATTACAAACAAAATTTGTCACAACAAATCTAAGTCTCATTATTTGTTGTGACAAATTTTCTGTCATAGTTTCTAAAACTTTTAGTTACAAAAGTTGTCACTATATGCCTTCAATTTTGTGCCAAAAATTTGGAGGGAAACATTTGTGACAAAAATTAGTAATAAAATTTATTTTGTCACCATATGTTACACATGTTTGTTAATTGTGACAAATTATTATGACAATTTTAGCTTTTATCGTAATTGTATATCTTTTTTTAATCTAATGCGACGATTATTTATTTTGTCACCAAAAAACTACTAATAGTGACAAAATTAATTTTGAGAAAATTAAATTTGTCATAATAGTAGAAATTTCTTGTAGTGTTAAAGTATAAATTTTAGGGAATATACTAACAATTGTATGGTATGTGTACTTAATGGATGCTTGTGTAGATCGTGACCAAGCTCCAAAGTCAAGTAAGAAACAGGGCAAGGATATAGTTGCCGAGTAGTCGGACATCAATTCAACATTCTAGTGAGGAATATCAGGTAAGTGCATTTATTGTACTTGTATGAAAAGAGGAAGACTCGCGATGAGTCAACCTCGAATGTTTTGTTAAATGTATGTTTTACAGCATTTTGGTATTATTTTCATAACGTGTATGAGAATGATATTATGAATAAGTTTTAAAGTATGAATTGGTCTAAAATGAATGGATGAATATTGATATTGTGCAATGGTTATCGATGTTGCCAAAATAGATGTGTAAATCTATGAAATTAACTTAAAAGCCCATTGTATGTGCATTGAGAGTCATAGGTGCATTATCGGCATAAAAGGTTCAACTAATGAAAATTATTGATCGATTTTGATTAATGTATAAAGATGCATTATCGGCATAAAAGATTCCACTAATGAAAATTATCGATCGATTTTGATTAATGCATGATGGTACATTATCGGCATAAAAGGTGCCAGTAATGAAAAATTATCGATCGAATTTGATTAATGTATAACGATGCATTATCGGCATAAAAGGTGCCACTCCTGGTATTCATAAAAGGTGAATGACCATTTCAAAACTTCGGTGCAATGCATGTACCTTACATTCTCATTTGACATACATTGGGCAAAATAAAGGATAATTTGGAAAAATATACAAAAAATAGGTATGTTGGGCATACTAAGAATAGTTTTGATGACTATATGAAAGAAAATTGGTTTAACTGAGATGATTAACTGATTTTTATGAAGTATACTATTTAGTTTGTATTTCAATAGCCATGATATGCTTATGTATGAAATACAGTTCATTTACATTATTATGCCTCACTAAGTAAATACTCAGCGCCTGTTGATTTCATGCGTAGGTAAAAGCAAAGACTAGCAAAGTAAGGAGTACAACAAATATCATCAATCCAAGGTTGACTCCTCAGTAACTGTAGGACTTTGTGTCTTCTTTTAATAACTAGATGGCATGTATATGAATTTAAGAAAAATGCTCTGTAATGTATTAAAGTTATAATTTTGTAATATGTTACAATGAATGTTTTATTCTATATTTAAAATGTTTTGTTTTATTTTTGAAACAACAATTTATGGGTTTACAAATAAGAAAACGTTTTCAAAAGTAATGTGACACTTGTGACTTATGTACGGAAACGTATACGGGAAATGGGTGTTACATTCAATACTATCAGTAATATAAGAAACATCATTCAAAATATTAAAAGTAATATGTTCATCTTTTAAATGCATAATCAACTCGCCAATTTCAACATCAACTCGACCCGTGGAAAGGAATGGGTGGACAAGAATAATTGTAACATCTTTATCCTCTTCACAATCCAAAATTATGAAGTTCTTGGGAAAAAATGAATATGTCTACTCTCATAAGCATATTTTTTATAATACCACTAGGATGCGTAATAGATCGATCAGCAAGTTGTAAAGTGATCGTAGTGGGCCTTATTTCTTTGCTCCTAAATTTCCTAAAGATTGACAATGTCATTAAGTTTATGGTAGCACCCAAATCACATAAAGCTTTACCTACCAATGTATCACCAATTTTGCATGGAATAGTAAAACTCTATAGATCTATAAGCTTTGGTGGCAATTGACTTGTAGCTATAGCACTACATCCTTCAGTAAGACCCAACAATCTCAAATACACCAAGACTCTTTTTCTTCGAATGAACTTAGTTCATGAATTTGGTAGTTTGGGTTTTGCTCTAAAGCTCAATCAACGAGATGTTAATTGTGAGTTGGACAAGGACATCGACGAAAGCTTTATATTGTTGATCTTCCTTTGTCTTTTTAAAGTGATGTGGAAATGGCGGAAGCAACTTTGGTTGCTTTTGCTAAGGCAATGAAGTTAGATAAGCGATAGATGTAGCAGGTGTTGTTGTTGGTAGTGAGTCTGAATTACAACATTGTCCTACATATAATGCTGTGGTACGACCCCAGGTGGCTTAGACTCAACTTCTTTGTTCTTTCCTCTTCCAT